TTTTCTTTAAACCCTTTCGCGTATTTTTTTTTTTACCATCCTTCTTTCTCCTTCCTCTTCCTCTTTCTCTTTATCTTTATCTTTCCTATCTAATCTATACATCTATCTCTTTTTATAAATCTATTAACAAATTTATTTATGCTAAAATAATTATAATGTAAAAAGATTTTTGCACATTGATGATAACCATGTCTTACATTGATTTGTCTGACAAAAAAAAAACACAAAATTATTAAAAATAATTTGAGATATCTCGAATAAAATAATTGTAAACAAGCAAAGATTATATATACCGTTTATTTTGAAATTGGTGTAAGTCAACTTTCACTTTTTTCAAGAAAATTAAATAATTAGCATATCTGTTAATTAAAAAATTTAGACAAATTATACGAAGTTTGGCAATGTTTCTACTGATTTAATAATATGTAATTTTTTTTATATAAATTTGTTTTAGGCGAATTTGACTAAACTAATGTCTATTTACGGGCTGCAAATCGACTTACACCACTTTCAAAATTAAACAATTGTAAAAATCGTTTAATTTCAATTTTGAAAATTCAAATATCATTTAAAATATACTTAATATTAATCCAATTTTGTTTACAAATAATGACTAGATATAAAATAGAAGTAATATTTTTAATTTTAGACGTTCATTACATTGTTAAAATTTCAAAATATTGGTAGTATGTACTTATAATCTGCATATGGCAGTGTTTTGAAATATTCATGGTGCACAGGAGGTATATAAGGTAATAATTACTTGATATCTTTCTATTGTTCATAACTAATAAGTCTGACATCTTGGTACAAAAGCGCCAAGGCTATTTTTTCAAATTTTAGCGGGTTTTTAAGGTAATTTACAGTTTTAAATTCTTTATCCTTCATCGATATTTTATATAAAATAGGGTATGGTTCACTTATAAGAAACCTCATCCAACATATTTGCATCCAATTTACCTTTTCTCCAGTAATGTTTTTTCTTTATCTGTTTTTTTTTATTGCGTTTTGAAGATTTTTTGTTGAAACGAAATTTTTTCGTTTTATTTCATGTAAAATGAATTTATTATGTTTTTTTTACATTGTGTTATTAAATCATAATAATCCTGTAGTTTATATAAGAAATTCTTTCTCCCTTCTTTTTCTTTTTGCCTGTGGAAATTGGATTTACACCACTTTCATAATCAATGATTAGGCAATTTCTTTTACCGAACAATTTTAAATTGTACAAAACATGAGCACTGTTAAAAAAAAGTAAATACTAACGAGTTATTCATAAAAAGTTTACATTAAATTAAGCATAAATTACGGGATATCTCTTTTTTTTTTTTTAATGGACTTACACCAATTTCAAAATAAACCGTCCATATTTTATCAACGATTTCGTTTTTTTATTTGATTTACAAGAAAAAAATGAAACAACTTTTGACCGTTCGAATTGTTTCTAAATTTTTTTTTTTTTTTTTTATTTAATTTTCTAATTAAACGATAAAAACAAATCGATCCGTTTTTGAGGCATGTCATTTCTAGACTATTATTAAAAAAAAAAAAAAAGAAAAACAAAAACACCAGTGACAGGAATATTATTGGATCACAAAAAAAAAGGAACTTTTACGTCAAAATTTTTGTTCAAACTGTTCGTCGAAGTGCAGTGTCAAAAAGTATAAAAAAACAAAAGAATAAAAAAAAACCCTAGAAAACATTTGCACCCCCCATTATTCGATGTTATTCTGTGTCGAACGAATTTGTAAAATAAATGAAAGAAAAAAAGAAACAAAAACAAAACAAAAGAAGACGATAAAAAAGTTTACGCCATTTTTTGTTTCGTTCGATCGCATCGATCCCTCGCGAAATATTCCAATTTTTTTTTCTATCAAAAAAAAAAGAAAAAAAAAGGGACACTATGTATATCTCTATACCAGAAGTCAATTTTTAGTTCGATAAATTTGCAATTTAATGGCACGAATCGTCGTCGTCGTCGTCGTCGTCGTCGTCGTCGTCGTCGTAGTTGGTTTTTATCAGCTGATTCGACCAACGTGGGGAAAGAAAAAATATAAGACATTTAACAAAAAAGAAAAACAAGAAAAAAAGGTTGAAAAGGAGCAAAAATTACATGCGTACTAGCACAAACGTACGGGGATAAAAGAAAAAAGAAAAAAGAAAGAAGAAAAAAGAAAGAAGAAGAAATATAAATATGTATTCTCTTTTCTAGAATGGCATATCATATTTTATACTCTACTAGGTTTTTATTTTACACGAGAGAGAGAGAGAGAGAGAGAGAGAGAGAGTGGAAAAAACAAAAAAATAAAAAAAGATTCTAGAGAACATACATTTGTTTTCTGGTCCTCAAATTTTTACTATTCACTTTTTTTCCTTTTTTTATTGCAATTTTTTTGATGGTTTGTGGAACGAACGTTAAGAACATTAATATTTTCTCTCACCCACAGTATTTATAATATGCAACATATATATATATTATAATTATATTAATATATTTATAATATATAATATTATTATATTATTAATTTATTTATTAATTTTTTATTTATTAATATTATAAATTTTTGTATATATTTTTTTTATTTTATATATATTCTACTCGCTTTAAACATGCGTCCACGATTTATCGCGCCATTAATATAATTACAAAATAATAATAATAAATACAATTAGAATAATAAATATAACAAATATTTTAATCAAATTCGAATCCTCTAATTATAAATCATATTTCGATATATTATATCGAATATATAAATATATATATATTATCTCTGAATTAGATTACATTATATAACATCATGCATATATGTGTAAATAAATGCATACGCTTACCCCTGAAACTTAAATCAATAAGCAATTATATATAATAAACATTTCAATTTTAATATAATATGCATATCTATATATCTATAAATATACATGTATGACCATTCATACATATATGTACGTGTCAACGTGTGAATTTATTATGTGTATGAGTAATCAACGTGTATAAAAGTACGTATTGTAATAAACATAAACGTATATATACGTAATGTAATACGAATAGTTCACATAATGAAAATTTAACAATATCGGGGACTCTCTCATTCATCTCTGCGAATATTTAAACGTTTAGATATGTCATATGATATATTATATAAATATGTTTAACTAACGGGACGGAGGAAGGGAGTAGAAATTACTACTGTGTACACAATGGGAACATTAATATCAAAGTTTGTACAAATAGCATAATCATTTCTACACGAGAGTCCCAATCAAAAAGTATACAAAATTGCGTAAATTCATTCGTTAATATTTAATGTTTTTTAAATCGTTTAATAGTAATTTACTATAACAACATTATCGATATTACCCGAGACACACAATTTTACAAATCAAGAAGAAAGAAAACAAATATTATTTTCGTCTTGGATTAATTTTTTTGTATCCTTCTATGTCTAATTAAAATTTAGTAGTCGTTTTAATTTACAATACATAATTATAATAATAAAATACGAATAACATATAATGTATATCTATTGTAGGTAACAAAAAAATCTGTTGATATTATAGCTCGACTGATAAAAATGTAACTTCGATCGATAAATTTATCAGAATGAAATCTACGTTACCGACATATTATATTAACGTTTTCAATTTTACCGATATACGATCGATAATTAAAATTACAACAAAGCGATAACACTATACATAACCTTTAAGTGTTAAGGAAAAAAAGAAAAAAATTGATAAAAAAAAGTTAAATAAAGAAAAATCTCAAACAAAATGAGATATTAAATTACTGTCAAATGTATATTACAATTGTCATTCTGAGAATGTTTTAATGTTAAATATACCATAATAAAATAAAATAAAATAATACAAGAACCCTACAAGTTACGTTTAAACTAGTAATATGATTATTCATTTTATTTTGTTGTTGTGTTGTTGTTAATATTTGTAAAAAAAAATCTCATCAATAACAATTTCTAGCCAACTTTATCGAACCAAGTTTATTTATAATTATCTTATAGTTATCTTCTAAAATTTAAATAATTATCTATATAATAATATACTATATAAATATATAATATATAAATTAATAATATAATATTATATTAATGTAATTACAATAAATTATAAAATATTATATTATAATTATATTAATATAATATTATTCTATATTAATTTAT